GGAACACCATCCCACACTGTTAAGGGGAGTTAGCGTGGGTCGGGGGTGGGTAGGGAGGGAAGACGGGCAGAATTATCAGGAGTTTCCATTTTTTAAAGTCACATTTCTATAATTTTTTTCATTGAAAATATATTACCATTGCCTTTGGGGGAAAATAAGTTTTGAAGGTATTAAAACATTAAAAAAAAATCAAGCACTCCTCTTAAACACCCAGAATTTATATGCCTGTCCACTCATGGCAAAGGCCTGAAATAAGCTGGCTGAGACGTCTACCACCGTGAATGAGATGGGAAGTCTCAGGATGGGTGAGATGTGTTAGATTCCAGAGAGAGCAAGAGAAAACGGAAAGGTTGGAGAAAAAGTGGAAGGCAATAAAAAATTTTTTTCATTGTAGAAAATCTTAAAAGCTACAGAAAATTTAAAAAGAAAAAAAAAACGGGAGGAAGAAAAGTCAGCTGAATCCCCACCCAGGGACAGCCATTCACAGTTTGGCATACGTCCCCCTGGTCGCTTATAATACGTGCACACATGCGAGCTCACTGTCACACCATCTGTGCTGGGTGCTGGGATAAGCCTCCTGGATCCCTCTACAGGAATGAAGGATGGTTCCCCTGTTGTGACAGTTAAATGAGCTCCAATGTGTAAAGAACTCAGCACAGGGACGCGGAAAGAGGATCCCAAGTTCCCAGCAGGAACTCCAGCAGTAATGACTCAGTGATGACATGGTTGGCCAGCAAGTCTCACACTTGAATTTGCATCAGAATCCCCAGCAAACACAGATTACTGGGTCTCACCCCTGAAATTTCTGATTCAGTGGGTCTGGGATGGAGCCTGAGGATCTGCATTTCTAACAAATTTCGAGGTACTGCTGGCCCAGTGATTCAGATGACCATTTCCGAAGAGGACCAAGGTAATTGAAGGTTTAATTGCTATCAACTGTATTTTCATATATTTGGAAGCTTGTAGGAGTAGCCGGGAACTTAAAAGTCTTCTCTAGATGTCTGCATTTTGCTTTATGGGGGAGGTGGGGGAGCTGCAAAAGGGCAGAGAGGTAAACTCACCTCACTCTTGGGGCTGCACTGTACCACCATCCACTTCTGCTCCGAACTGAATGGAATCTCTTTTTTTCTCACGTATGAATCTTTAATATCACTTAAGTCCATCTGGGATAATAAAATGGGAGGTTTTCAGTGAGTTAGCCTAAATTAATCTCCATGCAAAAGCTCAGTCCATTTAAATTATTAATTATTCAAACCACCTCAGGCAGATGAGAAATTCAAACGTTAAGCTCAGAGAAACCGGAAAAAATCTCTTTTCTCTTGTCCCAGGGGCAGAACCAGATGTTCTTTGCTACAGCTTCTAGCTGAAACCTGTGGGGTTTCTGCTAGGAGGAATGTTTCAGGCTTGAAGATGGAGCAATTCCCCCAGAAGGAGCCCCGGGATAGTGAGTGGCCTGTTGTCACCGCCTCAGGTCCCTGCCAGGCCTGACATTCGTTCGCTCTTTGATGGCTTTCAGACCAGTTACTTGACAGCCCTGAGCCTCAGTTTCCCCAATTGAAAACCAGTCCCAACCTGGGCATCCCATTGCCCCTTAAGGGGTGAAAATGGTTCTTAGGGGGCAAAAAACTACTGCTTTTATGTACTAAGCACAGATGTGCCCACAGCACACGAACAGATATAGTACATCTATGGTATTAACATCTCCTGGGAGGAGTGGATAGGGGAAAAAACCATCTAAATAGTCTCCTGAGGGGGGTGTCATGGTTTGCACTGTGTCCCTCAAAAATGCACTGAAGGTCTAACCCCCCAGTGCCTGGGAATGGGATCTTATTTGGAAATAGTCTTTGGAGGTGTAGGAAAGACGAGGTCATCAGCGGGAGCCCACTTCAGTAGGACTGGTGTCCTAAGAAGAGGACAAGGCCACGTGAGGACAGAGATCAGTAATCCATCTGCAAACTAGGGAGCAGCTAGGATCACCATAGTAGCCAGAGGCCGGGGGAAGCTGCCAAGCCCCAGCCACACCTTCATCCGCTCATACTTCCAGGGCTGTGAGAGAATACGTTTCTGTTGTTTTAACCCCCAGCTGGTGGGACTTTATTCCCACAGCCCTAGGAAACTAACAAGGGAGCGTTGGCGGGGAAAAGGTTTGAGGCTGAATGAGGATAAACACAAGTCCGGAGAACTTACCTGTCACTCAGGAAGCACTGAAGACTTGTCAGCTGTTGTTTATTTGTAAAACCAGGCCCCTTACATGATTTAGACCCAGGAAGGAGTAAAACCATCCCACGGGGAGGAGACAGGTTCTGGAACCCCTGCACTGCCTAGGCTGCAGGGTAGCCTTGCGGGGAGGAGGGCAGGCTCTGGACACCAGGGTTTTGTTCCTGCTCTGACAGCCAGGCCCACTGTCGCTTCCCAGCTGGGCAGCGGAGCTGTCAAGTAGGGCTGGCCCAGACTGTTTTAATGGGGCAGGAATTTGCAATTGGTGTTACTGGCACCCAGGAATTTCTTGAGTGGAAGGAAAAGAATCTGCTGTAACGATTTCTGAAAGCACCGTGTTTAGCTTCACAAGGACTAACTGAAAGGTAAATCCTCCGTCCCACTTATCGCCCACCCAGCGTGGCAGTGAGGGGCCCTGGTCTCATGCAGGGGAGGGACAGGCTGATGGATGGATGCATGACAGGGCAGTGCATGAAGCCAGCACACGGTGGGGAGCATTTCTCAAAGTCACAGAGCTCAGGTCCCACCATGGAGTCCTGGAGCCAACTGAATGTATTAAAAGGAAGGAGATCCTCCTGGATGGGGCTTGGTGAGAGCAGGAACTGTGCTGGGAGCCCCGGGGTGGGGTCTGAGCCCACAGGGTTCTTATGGATTCGCTGGACAGGGCTTAGAAGCCTAAAGAACTTTCCAGCCACGCAGCACCTCTGAGCACATCTCCCCCACAGTCGGGGATGGCCTGAGGATGTCCAGGCTGTTTTCTCCCATCATTGCTAAGCTTCCCCATTCCTGATTCGCTAGACAGGACCTTGAATTCTGCCACTAATTTGGCTCTGAGGGAAGAATTCCCCGCACGGACATCAAGGATTTCCTACCTTCATTGCCAGGGCGATCAAGGCGCCTTCTGTGGGCTGGCCCATGACAGCGTTTTTCCTGATGACAGCGTTGTTGGCAACACAGCCTGCCTGAAAGTGGAGGGGGGTGTTTTCTGAATGTCACTTGTTAATAATTGGAGCCCACCTGCCGGAGTCCTGGGCTCACTTAGGCACATGAAAAGGTCCAGCACTGAAGGCTTGACCCATTTTCAGAGATGAGGCTGGGGTTGGGGTGAGGGACAAGTTTACTTGTCAGTATACATCAGAGTCCCCGCTCTTCAAAATAAAAACAGTAAATAATTATTGACTCTGCTGAATGTTGGTTGTCACAAAGCCTTCGTGAGGAATTACAGTGGGAAGGCAGGCAGAGTTGGTGGTTACCAGTGGGAGTGATGGCAACTGACCAGTAATGGGAACGGGGTTTCTGTTTGGGATGACAAATGCCCTGGAATCAGGTGTGGTGATGCTAAGCAACTTTGTGAATGTACAAAAACCCACTGAACTGCACACTTTAAAAGGGTAAATTCTTGGAGGGTGGGGTGGTGGAGTGCGTACTTAGCATGCATGAAGTCCTGGGTTCAATCCCCAGAACCTCCATTAAAAAAATATATATGGGGGGAGGGTATATATAGTTCAAGTGGTAGAGCACATGCTTAGCATATACAAGGTCCTGGGTTCAATCCCCAGTACCTCCTCTAAAAAGCAAATAAGTAAACCTAATTACCCCTCCCTAAAATTTTTTTAATTAAAATTAAAATATATAAAACAAATAAACTATATAAATATATAAATAATGTAAATAAACATATAAATATACTAAAAACATATAAATTAAAAAATTAAAGGGTGAATTCTGTGCTGTGTGACTTATATTTCCATTTACAATAATAATTGGAAAAAGGGAAGTAGAAACAAATGGACAAAAAGAACATGGGGGTGAATCCCGGCTCCCTCCCCACGTGCTGTGTGATCTTGGACACTCATGTTACGTCTCTGAGCCCATTTCTTAATCTGCACAACTTAGATAATGGAACAGGCCTTGCAGGGCTGCTGTAATGATTGTCACCGTGGAGGTGGGAGCTGTGCGGAGGGGTGCTCACTGATAAAGGAAGACTGGGTTCGGACCTCATGGGGGACGTGAGCCCCTGTGACCCTGTGTACTGCTTATACTACAAATACTGACAATCACAACAGGCACGACTCATCATGTGCTTATCTCCCAGCATTCCTGGAGCCCCGCCCCTTCCAGCAAGCAGGGATGGGGAAGGGGTTCCAGCTCTTCTTTTGTCTCCCATGTTCCCTTCTGTATCCCGGCCGCTGTGGCAACCTGACCCCTGGGGTGTGGCCTGGTTGTTACCCGGAACCAGTTGGTCCAACGGCTCTCTCTTTCCAGAGAGAATCCCCATCAACTGTGTTTTAAATGCATGACTATTTCCACGATGGCGTTTTGGACACTTACCTCCACTAATTTGCCCACTGAGACGTTGGAAAACTCCTTAATGACTTCCTTTGAGGGTAAAAGACAGACAGTTCCTTTGCCGTTATATCCAACTCCGCTGACCTGCAGGGCGAAGTCACAGAAAAGGGTGTCACTAGGAGTCCAAAATACGCTCCCTGGGTGACTCTGATCTTCTTTCTGGGGATCCATTACCAAGGACACAGTCCTAGCCATGAGCAAGGCTTCAAGCATGACGGTGTTCCCTGCAGGATTACATGTTAATCAGGCTCCCTCACCAAGGGCCAGGCTTCCATAAAGTGCAATGGGACATTCTATAGACAGTAAAACTGACAGTTATGAAAGCCAAGTAGTAGCAAACCAGAGTGCCTATGTTCTAGAGAAGGGGTGGGCAAGCTCTTCCTTGCAGAGCCAGATAACAAGTGTTTCAGCCTTTGCAGCCCGTGCAGATTGTTGCCATTAACCCGTGGTTGTGGTGTGAAGGCAACCGCGGACAACACGCAAAAACATGGGTGCAGCACCGTGCCAACCGAAGGGGGCTACCTTCCACCAGTCGTGTTCTTTGCTGCTATTTGTAGCAAGGAAGTTGTCCACTAACTCCATTTGTTCCTTCCCTTTTGTTTTTTGGAAGGTTCCATGTGCTTTCTCGGGTAGGGAAGGTTGGGTGGGACAGAACTTGGTCTTGAACCTCGTAAATTCATGCAGACTCACCTCGGCGTGGAGCCCATCAGACGTGACGAGCTGGGTGACAGTCATTTCATTGGCAGTCAGAGTCCCTGTCTTATCAGAACAGATGACATTACAGCAACCTGGCGTGGGAAGACATCAGAGTTTAGAGGGAAGAGGAGTGGTCGCCACCAACTCTCAGGCTTCCAAACCACCCAGGTTGAGTTATCAAGGCACCAAAACACCCATTCAGGCCAATTTGTAAGACTCCAACCAGATGAAGTCCCTCACCTAAAGTCTCCACGATTGGCAGCTTCTTCACAATGACCCGCTTCCTGGCCATCCGCAGCACTCCCAGGACCAGCGTGACTGTGACGACAATGGGCAGGCCCTCTGGAATGGCGGCCACAGCCAGGCTGGATGGAAAGGCCAGATGGCTCACCTTTAACATACACTTAAGGATGACATGAATCCCAACTGGCATTGACAACATTTTTACCTGGAGGGGCCTGTCTGTGCTTTCCCCAACTTTTCTGTTCTAGTCTCCATTCCCAGTGCCATGATACACCTGCCTCCTTCATCGGTATCCATTGCTCTGAGCTTCCCCCCTGCAAAACCCTGCTCTCCTATCAGACATGCACAGTTTAGTGTGAATTAGTCTGTTCGTTGTTTTGCCTGTTTAAGTGCTTTTGAAATAAAATTGTTGTCATCTGTTAGAAAAGTCTTGGGCCCTATGAAAGAAATGCCCAGAATCAGGCAGTAAGTGGAAAGTGGAATTTTTTGGTTCAGAGGGTCCTCCCTGGGTCCCTTGACTTTTACTTCAAATTGGTCTAATGGTTTAGACGCTTCCTGTGAGAAAATCAGATAAGGAGATGAATGTTGAAGGAGGGGAAGTGGCACAGCTATGCCTTTACCTAGTGTAGCAGGACGTTTTGGTGTCACTCAGTTCCTTAGGACCCCCTGCCCACTCTTTCTGTACCTGTGACCCCGCCCTCCCACAACCATAGCTAATTAGATTAGATGAGAGCAAGCTGAACCAGTGAGCTTCTACCTTGGGCATCTGCATGGCGATTGAGCACAGACCCCCTTCCTGTGTCAACACGTGGTGGGCTGTGAAGAGGAGACTATTTCTGCTTCAATTTTGGGCCCAAAACACTGGGGCTGGCTGATTCCCCATCCCTCACTCCCGAGCGGGCCTGACCGAGGCAGAGGGCTGATCTGTGTCTCACCAGTGAGGACAGGCTGATGGGGGAGGCTGCAGAGCCGAGGGCAGACAGTGCAGAGCTGCGTGGTGACCATTGCCACACCCCACCCCTCTGCGGTCCACCCTCTGCACTACAAGACCCAGCCGAGCCCCACAGGTATTCAGTAAATACTCGCTGAATGAACAAACAGGAGTGAGTGACTATACAGCAAGTGTGAGAGCCCAAACCCAGGCTGGCCTAGCAGGAAGTGAGCGCTCTACACAGGTCAGTTAAGAATCAGAAAGCCCCGGCAACCAAGGCCGCAGGCGGCTACCGTATTTCATCAATTCTAAGGCACTGCTAATTGTGAAGGGCACTACTAAGAAAGGGGAAACATACTGCCCATTAATCAATGAAACGGTGCTTTCCTATCGCAACACTTGTAAGAAGCAGTCTGGCTCCAGAGAAGTTAAGATGTGAAGAAGAATGTGTATCTTAGAATCAAAGAAATATGGTATATGAATCTATGAATGGTGAGGGACAATGGAGCATTCAGGGATGAGTTATATAAACCAAGATGACTGAATCTGGTTTAGGGACTGTGTCCTGTTTCTATGTGACAACAGGAAGGCTTCCTTGGTTTTATGATGGCACAGGCTGACAAGACGAGTTAGGCAAACATTTGTAAAGGGTTATCATGAGTGCTTGCCTCCAACGTGGCAGGGGAAGGGTGCTGCCTGCACCTGGATGCTTTCAAAATAATAAAACATTAATTGGCCAACTCATAAAGATTAGAACAGACCAGGAAAAGCAAGTAGACCTTGGGTCATCTTGAATGTCACTCAAGGCAGAGGGATGTGGGATAAAGTTTTCAAAAGAACGATTCTCATGTTATTTATTTTGGAGGATCTCTTCCTCCCCAGCTAGCCTGCGGTTTCTGCCTAATGATTTAGAGGCTTTGAGTGATTTTAATTCTGCTAAAAACTGAAGAAACCCTGTCCTTTCAAAGTCACAAGGGAGACGAACAGAGTCCATTATCTCTCAATCACAAATGCACCATGGATCAAGTGGGAGGAGGAGAAGGAAGGGGAGGTTAAGAAAGCAGAAATGACTTTGGGGAGGTGAGGCTGGGGTGGACACAGGAGCCTTTCTTCCTCTTTACCTGGAAATATTTAATAGTCTTTGTGGCTCTTGGAACTCATCGTGGTTTATAAGACAGAACTGAGCACATCCTTATTTGGGGGAGGTTCTTACACATCATGGCTTCTGAGAGCTCTGCTTTTTCCAGGAGCCCCTCGTGACCAAGGTTTCACCCTCTGCCATCGCACCTGCCTCTGAAGGCTGAGTAACCTGAATTCCCTTTATGGGGGCTCAGTCTTCTACCCTGGAACCCCAACTAGGGGAGTTTCTAGTCATGGCCTCACTGCTCAGAGATACCTCTGGAACCAGCAGCATCAGCACCCCTGGAGCACATTTGGAATGCAGAGTCTCAGGCACCAGCCAGACCCTGAGTCAGAGCACTGGCTAGCTCTCCCAGGGATGCTTATGTGGGGAGGTTAGTTAGGCTCATTTCTAAGAACCCCGCTCTCCAGTGTCCGACTCTTCCAAGATGCCCTGCCTCGCCTCAAACTCCACGTTCCACGGCGCAGCCTGCTGCCCACTCCCTCCTCCCTCTCCTCGTAACAAGCTGGGGTCCGCACCTCCCTTCGCTTTCTGTCTCTATGTCAGGAATGACCTTCACTTTTCATCTCTCTGCTCCAAAGAATAATAGAGATAGTCCAATGTGGAGTTTGAGAAGGATTCTGGGGATGTGATGAGAATCCAGAGAAAAGGGGCCGGGGGCTTCCACGGGATCAGACCTCTAGCTGACACCCCCACCCCCACCCCATCTTATCTGCTCAGGCTCTGCGTCTCCCAACTCCAACTCCTCAGATACCTCCCCAGCCACCCTTTCAGGGCCCGTCCCTCCCTCCTCCCTTTTAATCTCTCTCTCAGCAGTCGCTTCCTTGGGAGCACTGATCAGAAGTTGTGACTATTTTGCTAGCATTCACTTAAATTGTCCACGTTGACTTTCCCCACCAGCCTGCAGACTCTGGGATTCTGCTCCACCAGCACCGGATGATGCAGGCAGAGAGTCAGCAGTTGTTCAGCAAATATTTATAAGGTGAATAAACCGAGTGCCACGGCCCAGGAGGACAGGGAGTGGGAGTGGTGGCTCCTCCCTGCAGGAGGGTTCCTGCCCCAGCGAGAGGTGGCCAGGGGTACTGACAAGGACCCTGGCTTTGGATCAGAAGGCATGGGGTTTCGAGCCTGTTTCCTCCACTCCCTGATTCTGTAACCACAGCCAAGTGCGTAAGCTTAACCCTTAGCTTCTCCATCTGTGAAATGGAGATGAGTCTGCTCCATGGAGCTGCGCCATGATGAACAAGGTCATGTGTTCCTCTCGACCCTCCCCCCAACCTTGACCCAGCGTCAGTAGACCCTGGCTATGCCCCCTTCAGTTTCTCGAAGATTCTAGAACTGACATGCCTAGCCTCTCTCAAATCATGTTCTTGGCAACTTCAACATCCACATCCATTTGCTGGTCCTTCCCACCCTGGCTTCCTCGGATTCCTCAACTCTGATGAGTCTGTCCTCCAACCATCCCAGCAGCCTCGCCTCAGTATTACGAGGTGTGTCGTGTCCCTCAAAAAAGACCCACTGAAGTCCTGATCACCCCCCTCCACAGCCTCTCATGCCCATAAATGTGACCTTCCTTGGAAATAGGGTCTTTGCAGATGGGGCCAAGTTAAGGGGAGGTGATTAGGGTGCCCACACTAGTCTGGTATGACTGGTGTCCTTACAAGAGGAGAAGGGACAGAGGGACAGACACACAAGAGGGGCCATGTGACAACAGAGATAGAGACTGGAGTGAGGCGTCTACAAGCCAAGGGACCCCCAAGGATGGCCGATAACACCAAGAGACGAGAGGAAATCATGAGACAGACTCTCCCCTGGAGCCTTCCGAGGGGGCACAGCCCTGCCAACACCTTGACCTTGGACAGCAACAGCAGCAGGGGTGAGGGGTGGAAACAGGTCACCCTCCGGAAACCATAAGGGGCCTGATGTGGCTTCTCCATGTCCCAGGAGGGTCACCAGCTGCCCTTCTGCTGGGACACGCCCTGTTAGTGACAACCCCCGGCACCCTGCATCCCTGAGCAGTCATAGAAAATCTGCAGCAGTGTCGCTCGCATCCTGCACAGAGCCTGCCTCCTCTACTCATCTCTGATCCTCCATGGGGACCTGGGGTGGGCTGGTCACTTATTAGAATCATTACGTGGGGAAACAATAAATGCTCAAGAGGGTGTGGAGAAAAGGGAACCCTCCTACACTGTTGGTGGGAATGCAAATTGGTGCAGCCACTATGGAGAACATTATGCAAGTTCCTTAAAAAACTAAAAAGAAATACCGTATCATCTAGCAATCCCATTCCTGGGTGTATATCTACAGAAAACTATAATTCAAAAAGACACATGCATCCCAATGTTCACAGCCCCAGTATATACAATAGCCAAGACATGGAAACAATCTAAATGTCCATCAACAGATGACTGGAGAAAGAAGATGTGGTATATTTATACAATGGAATACTACTCAGCCATAAAAAAGAATAAAATAATGCCATTTGCAGCAACTTGGATGGACCTAGAGATTACCATACGAAGTGAAGTAAGTTAGACAGAGAAAGACAGGTATCATATGATATCACTTGTATGTGGAATCTACATAATAAATGAATTTACAAAACAGAAAGACTCACAGACATAGGAAACAAACTAATGGGTATCAAAGGGGAAAAGGGATGGGGGAGGGATAAATTAGGAGTTTGAGATTAGCAGATACACATTACTATATATAAAATGGATAAACAATAAGGTCCTACTGTGTAGCACAGGGAACTATACTGAGTAGTTTATAATAATCTATAATGAAAAAGAGTATGAAAAAGATTATATATGTATAACTGACTCACTATGCTGTATACCAGAAACTAACACAGCATTATAAATCAACTAAACTTCAATAAAAAAAAATTAAGATGAAGATCAAACTAGGAAAAAAAATCACCATGTAGGGGAAAGGTGAGCTCCCTGGGCTTAAAGTCAAGACCTGGATTCCCAGCCCTGCCGTCAGCAGTGTGGCCGCAGCTCTAGTCCTCTGTCCTCCCGTACAGCTGCCTCCGTCAATCAAGGGCCGAGTTCCCAATGAGAATATGCACACACGGTGTGCGGGAGGTGGCTGCAGGCACCTGAGCCAGCAACCCAGAGCATCCTCCCAGCACCCCTAGGAGGGCTGACATCACCCCTGTTGACAGAGGAGCAAACGGAGGTGCAGGAGGTGAAGGAGCTTGCCCGAGGTCGCACGACTGGCCAGTGGCAAAGGCAGAATTTAAACCTAAGCAGGCTGGCTCTGGAGTCTGCGCTCTCCACCAGGGAGACCCAAGCCCATGGGCCAGAGTGACAGGAGTGGTAGTGTGTATCTGCTGATCCCAAACTCCTAATCTATCCCTTCCCCTCTTCCCCCTTTAGTAACCATAAGTCTGTCTTATATGTCTATGAGTCTCTTTCTGTTTTATAAATAAGTTCATTTGTGCCATTTTTTAGATTCCACATATAAGTGATCTTATAGGATATTTGTCTTGCTCTGTCTGACTTACTTCACTTTGTATGATCATCTCTAGGTCCATGGACGCTGCTGAATCACCATGCTGTACACCAGAAACTAACACAACACTGTGGGTTGAGGGTAGAGCTCAGTGGGAGAGCACGTGCTTAGCATGCACGAGGTCCTGGCTTCCAAGCCCAGTACCTCCTCTAAAATAACAACAACAAAAACCTCCAAAACCCCCACAACATTGTAAATCAACTACACTTCAACTAAACAACAATATGAGTGACAGGAATGGGAACTCCAAATTGCTGGCCTTCATTCATTTTGTAGACAGTAGCTGGACATCCCACCTGGTAGATAATGTGCTATGGGGAGACTGTGGCTTGGGTGGAAGGGGGTGCATATGCCCCACACTGTTCCTGCCCCCCCAAATCTGCCCACTGTCTCTCACTGCACAGATGGAAGGGGACAGCCCAGCACCCTTACCTGACCCCGATGGTGAACATGCTAAGCAGCTGTTTCCCTTGCAGCCAGCCCGTGAACATGATGAGGCCTGGGGAAGAAATAAACAGATATATGTACATATCTGTGTGTGTGTGTGTACATACGTACGTACACACACACGCATGCGCACACACGTTCCCTAACATCTGAAATCATCTTCCTAAAGAGTTTACAGGAATACAGACACAGGGCAATTATGAATAATACAAGTTTTTACAAACTCTCTCCTTTTTCTTTTTAAGGAAGATACTCTCCTACCTACAAAAGAGAATGGTTTTCCTTTTTCAGGGAAGGATCAAGCCAGTTTAAGTAAAAGAAAGAAACAGCCAACCAGTTTATTGTGGGCTGTTTTCAGCATTTCTGTATTATTCCCAAATTTCCCACGTATGGTATGCCCCCAGGACTCCTCACCCAGGTGAGTAGCAAGGTAGGTGATAAAGCGCTGTGGGTTCTCAGGACGGCTCCCTCCTTGCCCCCCTCCCCTCCAAGACCCAGGGCAGAAACCGTTTTACTCACCAATGATGCCGAATGAGAAAAGTGTCAGCTGCTTCCCCAGCCTGTCCATGCTTTTTTGTAGAGGAGTTTTAGGCGTCTGGAAGGATGAGAACAGTGGGTTTGTTAGATAGGATCCCGGCAGCGTCCCCCAGCTTCTGCTTGGATTTTTTACATCTTGAGCTGAGGGACAATGACACGGGGACACGTATATCAACGTGCATTGCCTGCTACACTTAAGACCTGTGCATGTTGCTGTCTGTAAGTTCTCTCTTGACAAAAATCCTCACACTGATCACATCGGCCTCACTCCTAAGGGCTACGCAGGACTGGTATGACTCACTGAGAGTAACGTCAGAACCCAGCTTATAAGACCAAAGCCCCACTGCCCTTACCTCTTCGGCTTGCATCATCTTAAACACTTCTCCGAACTGGGACCTCTCGCCTGTTCCAATCACGACGCCCTGCCCTCAGGGGAGACAAGTGTGAGTCTGAGGCTGAAAGCCTGTGGGTGAGGGAGGTTGAGGTCCCAGGCACCCTGGGGCGTACCTTCCCCTTTCCGCACTGCACCAGGGTCCCCATGAAGACAATGTTGCTCAGGGTGGTGAGGTCACCCTCACCCGTCAGCGGGGTGTCCGTCTTACTGCTCGGCTCAGCTTCTCCTGTGAAACTGGACTCGTCCACCAGGAGGTCTGTGACCTGGGGGAGCAAAGGGAGCAGACATGGCACCAGCCCCTCCCACCTGTGAGCTGGTTTTAAAAGCTGTCATGAGTACATGTGGCTTGTCTGTCACTCTGGGCTATAAACCCACGAGCACAGGCAACAGGTTGGTTTTCTCCCCATCTCCTTGGTACCAAGCACAGTTCCTGGCACAGAGCAGGTGCTCAAGAAATATTTGAGTGATGGGGATTTGGGGAGGGGTTCCCTGAGGCAGGAGGGGAGGAGAGAGAGGCTCAGAGGAGGGCGTTGGGTGTGGTGGGCTGAATGATAGCCCCCCATCCCATCCAATCCCCCAAAGACGCCCAAGTCCTAATCCTCGGAACTTGGGAATGTGTTACCTTGATGGCAAAAGAGACTCTGCAGATGTGATTAAGTTAAGGACCTTGAGACTGGGAGAGTGTCCTGGATCCTGGTGGGCCCTAAATGTCATCACAAGGGCCTTATAAGGGGAGGATCAGAGAAGCATCTGAGGGTCAGAAACACGACAACAGAAGCAGCAGTTGGAGTGATTCAGGGCCACAAGCCAAGGAATGTGGGCGGCCTCCGGAAGCTACGAAAGGCAAAGGGAGCAAGTTCTCCCCCAAGCTCCCGGAGGGAGCATGGCCCTGCCAGCACCTTGATTTTGATCCAGTGAAACTGAATCTGATTCTGACTTCTAGAATGGTAAGCTAACACATTTGTATTGTTTTAAGCCACTAAATATGTAGTAATTTCTTCAGCAGCTGTAGGAAACTGGTACCCTGAGGAATCCCAGAGGGAGACAGAGAGCCAGGAAAAGAGGTAGAGGAGGAGGTCACAGGGGAAGAGGTGATGGAAGGAATGTTTGCAGCTGAGGTATGGGGAAGTCATCCTGGCTGATGACTTGGCTTGAATTTCATGATCACCAGAACAGCCCGCCTTTATGGCCTGGTTAACGTACACGGTACATCTGCTTTAACCATCAAAGGAAGGACTGCATTATCCAGAAGTAAAGAATGCCCACTGTGAAGACAGGGACAAACTCCTCCATTCCTAGGAAGCCCATACTGGTAATCCACGCTTCTCACTGTCAACATACTAATCTGTCTTTTTTGAAGCCTTGAAGGAATGTGTCCCTGCCATTTTTGATGTATTTTTTTTCTTTGTTATGACAAGATGCAAAGCTGTGCTGAAAACCATGCTTCTCCAGAGCAGTTTCTCAGAGCTGTGGAGAGGCTGTCTCCTGGGCTACAGTGTCAGTTTGGTGTGAATAAAACTCTTTTCTATTCTTATTACAGATTATTTATTGATTACCTGCAAGGGCCCTGGAACCAGATGACCCGGGTTCAAAGCTCCTCTGCCCCACATTTACTGCTGTGTGACCTCAGGTGGGTCCTTAACCCCTCTAGGCTTCCATGTCCTCACTGTAAATGGAGAGTCCTGTTCTCTTAAGGTTGCTGGGAGATGAAGCAAGGCAGTTTTTATACAGTGGCTAGTGAAGACTTGATTTTTCATATATGGTTGACCCTTGAGTAGCGCTGGGGGTTTAGGGCACAGGTGAATATCCTCGTATGACTTCAGTCAGCCCTCTGCATCCCAGGCTCACCCAGTGACAGACCGTGCAGTGCTGGAGTATTTACTGAAAAAAACCTGCGTCTAAGTGGACCCGCACAGTTCAATCCTGTGTTATTCAAGCGTCGACTGCCTGCACATTATTTTGCTTCACGTGGAGAAAAACAAAGGGAGGCAGAGACGGAGGGGAGCATCTGGACCAATGAGGCACAAAGCTGGTTGTGAGTATGTGTTTGGGGGTGGAGGGGATTGCTGGTGACCTCCCAGCATCACATCAGGTGAGGGCAAATCTGAAAAGAGACTCGGGGCACAGAACCCACCAGATGCCAGTGACCACCAAGGAGACGGCTCGGCCTAAAGACGGTACAATTGAGGGCCCAGGGCAACCCCATCACTTCCTGCTCAGGGGCACATAAAGGCACTTCCTGTCTCCTCAAACCTGCCCATGTTTCTGCCTCGACAAAGCATCACCTAGAGTCCTGACAGATCCCATCCAGTCCCTTTTCATTTTAGATATGATGGGGGAGAGAGAGCAAGCAGTGGGCCCTGTTCCACCAGTATCTCAGGTCAGCCTTTCACCAAGGCCGTGGCCTTGGTTTTAACTCTGGGAAGAGAAAATGTTCTGTGACCTGGACATACTTACAAAACGGGCTAGTATTTGCATTACTTATTTTAAGAGCTTTCTTGAGCCTGCCTTCCTAGGAAGCCCACACTGTTTCCTGGACCTTGATGACTTTGAAATGTATATAAAGTTCTCCTGGATCTCAGAGCTTAATAGCTGAGAAAAATATTCCACCATGAGTAAGCAAAGCAATTTGCTTTTAACGGAGTTGCAAAGGACCAAAAGGAAGTCTGTAGGGTGTTCATGGCTGAGAGCCTTGAACAAAGCCCTTGTGGTGTCAAATACCAATGACAATTTAATGTAATAGAAGCATGGTAGGAAGAAAGCCAGCTGAAGTAGTAAAGGAGTTATATGAGGTTTAAAAAATGGTTTCAAAGAACCATTGTAGAGACCAGTAATGATAAATGATAAAACCAACTGCTGGTATTCAGTGACTTTGTCCCCACACCAGGCACTGCAAGAGCAGGTGGCAGGTTTTGGCTTGTTTAATCTTCACGATAACCCCATGGGAGAGGAATGAACGTTAACCCCCTTGATAGATGAGGAATAAGAGGTTCAGAGAGGCCAGTCCCTTCCTCACAGCTGAGAAGTGCTGGGAGGTGCAGGGCCGGGATTTGAAACCCAGGCTCCTCTGATCTCTACCATGCACCACCACTCACCCATGCCGGGCACTGTTCTGAGCACTTGGCATCTGGGAAGTCATTTAATCCTTATAACCACCCTATGAGCATTATCATCTCATTTTACAGATGAGGAAAAAGGCACAGAGAGATTAAGTAACTTGCTCAAGGTCACACAGCTTATGAATGCTAGGACCCCAGCTAATGCACTAACCACCTTAACTGCACTGTCTCTCTCTAGCACCTGGGGGTAGACATGTGTCCTCCTCATTGGCTGCCCAGCATGGGGCCCAGCCCTGGGCATCAGGGAGGTGTGGACAACGTCAGACTGGCTTTCCCAGCCTTCCCTGCAGGTTAGGCTTGGCCACTGGACAATGGCTCCTCTAATGAGACTCATGTGTCCTTGACTGAGAGTCAGAGGCCAAATGCTGGTGCAGGGAGAAGCGGACGGGGAGAGGAATCCATTCTGGGGTGGAACACCTCCTGCTCACCCTGCTCCCACCACCTCCCTCATCCCTAACGGCCTGGATGTCTGAAAGTCACGGGCAGAGGGGTTTAAAAGCTGGAGTGCCCTCTAGACCCTGCCGCCACTTCAAAGGCTGACGAGGAATGCTGTAAACCCAGAGCCCAGGGGCTGGCTCCCAGCCTCTTTGCCTCTCCCCATCCCCCCACCTCCAGGCCACCCTTCAAACAGCGGACTCTTGATCCTGAGAACGCGTCCTCCTTAAATAAATAAATCAGGCAGATAACTTGGGCTTAAACTTTTACCAGGAAAAGCTTTGAACAATTCTTAGGCATTATTGGAAGGAATCATAAAATAGATTACCCCCATCAACAGGTCCTTCTGAACTTGGTTTAACCTTTTCTCGAGAATCCAGGATTATCTGGAGAGACTTGGGAAATGTTCCATGAAGCTGTGACACTCTGCGACCCACCAAGGTGGGAGAAAGAGCTTGCCCCACACCTGGTGTCCCCCACAGCACTACTGCAAAAGCTTTGTGACTTTTTCTGGCTTTACTCGTTGTCCCCCTCCTCATCATTAAACAATCTGATAGCACGTCTCTCTGACATCAGTGGGGCCCTTTTCTGGAAGCAACTTTTCCAGCATTCCTCAGCCCCACCCTGGTTTCATTAGCCACTGCAGTTTGCTATCAACTAGACCACATAGCCAAAATTTGTTAGGCTTATACTTATATGAGAATAAATCAATTATGAAATGCAATGGGAGGAGCTTTGTGTTTGAAATTAGCTTGCTGGCTAATTTCCTGTTTGTGGACACGTACATCTGCATGTGCGCACGTGTGTACATGTGTGTGAGAGACAGAAAGAGGACCCCTGCCTCTGATAAGCTAAGTGTCAGCCTCGCCAGCGGACCAGGGTCTGGGGCCCCTCACCTCTGTGAGACGGATGTCTGCGGGGATCCGGTCTCCGATGGAGAGAGACACGATGTCTCCAGGAACCAGGTCTCGTGCAAGCAGGTGCTGGAGCTTTCCTTCTCTTATGCTGCATTTGAAATGGGAAAAAGCAAGGGGTGAGGGTACAGTTCAGTGGTAGAGCGTGTGCTTAGCATGCATAAGGTCCTGGGTTCAATCCCTAGCACCTCCATTAAAAAAAATATATATATGTATGAATTTTTAAAAAAATGAAATGGGAAAAAGCAAAAGAATCCATATTGACATCCCAATTTCATGCAGTTTGATAAATCTGAGTAAAGGTTATACAAACACACTTTCTCTTTCTGTTATGGACAAACTCTTGTGCTTTTGTGGTTTTTAAAATTTTTACGTATCCTGAACTTTTGGGAAAGTGTATGGCTTCTGGGAGATCCTGGGCCTCATTTGAAAAGCGGGGCAACTGTTCACCCTGTCGGGAAACAAGGCTGGGCCCCATGGCCTCCAGAAGCTTCTGCAGGTTGAGAGAAGTGGTTCTAGAACTTCCTTAATGGAGCCAGCAGCTAGTGGCATTTCGGTCCTCAGAGAACACGCCACTCTGGTGTGCAGAGCCCGTCTCAAGACCTCAGGGCCGGCACAGCCTTTTCAGAGCCAGAAGGAGCATCTTAAGTGCCAGAAAAGCCGTTGCTCCAGTCCATTATAAAATAGATTACCCCCATCAACAGGTCCTTCTGAACTTGGTTTAACCTTTCCTTGAGAATCCAGGATTATCTGGAGAGCCTCAGGAAATGTAGAGCCTCGGGATGGGACGCGCTTTGGTGCACAGGCTCTGACTTGAATCCCACCACACTCTGCCCATCGTCCAAACCTCAGTAACCTCTCAACTGGACCCCTGCCTCCTCTCTGGCCTTCTTCAATTCACCCCACATGTGGGAGCCAGAGAGCTCCTAAAACTCAAAATCAGATCAAAACGTCCTCCTGCTCCAAACCCTCTCCAATGACCTTGGAGTCAAACCCAGAGGCCCTGCTGAGGCCTCTCAACATGGGCCTGCCTCTTGCTGCTCCCACCCTCCCACACGCCTTGAACACACCCAGCTCTTTCTAGTCTCAAGGTCTTTGCCGACCTTAAGTGCTGGAACAGACATTCCCTTCTTCCCAGTTAACAAAATTCAAACTTATTCAGATCCACACCCTTCTCCCCACAGCCAGGTGCTCCAGGAGGTGGGTCCTGACTGACTGAGACCATCAGGGTGATTCCATTCCCTGCCCATGACTAGTGTAGGTATAGGCATGACCTACAACACTAGCCTAGGAGACACTGTAGTAGAGAATAACCTTTGTTTTGTTGGAGGTTTACAGGGACACCATGACTTGGCCCATGGGGATGGCTGCAAGAACAAAGAATGCCTGCACAAGAAGACTGCAACAATCAACCATACCCCCTCCCTTGGGTTTTTGTTTGTTTGTTTTTTTTTTTGTATAAAAGGATCCTGTATTCTGACTAGAGCAGGATGGTTCACCAAGACATTAGTCTGCCATCCTCTCGGTCTGCTGGCTTTCTGAATCGCTATTCCTTGCCCCAACACCTCATCTCCTGATTTATTGGCCTGTTGTGTGGTGAGCAGAACGAGTTTGGACTCGGCAACAACATGAGTGGATATTTGCTGGGGTCTCAAGAGAAAGGTTTTCTCACTCTGTATACACACGCACACACGCACACACTCAGATGGCCTCTTCTTCTGTTGGAACTTTTCATGTCTGGCTGTGATGCCTGGCGCTATGGCAGCCATCTTGGGACCATGAGGGAACCAGGCCTGAGAACAAAGTCAACAAGCTGAGGATAGCAGAGTAAAGAAATAAAAGCACTAGGTCCTCAGCGCCATTTTGAATTAAACACCACTGTCCCCCAACTTCAGATCCCTTGCCATAAGACAATACAATTTCCTTGTGGTTTGTGCAGCTGTATTTTCTATTTTTTTTTTTTTTGTAGCCAAGAGCATCTATCAGATCTATACCTCTTCTTCCCCAGCTCTTCCCATGACTGGCTCCTGCTGTTTCTCAGGCCTCAACTTAAATGTCAGCACCTCCTTAATGTCAGATCAGGGTGGCCTGCCAGCCAGCTATTTAAGGTTGTTCTTATTCCTCCACCAGTCACTAATGCATCTCCTTGAAGTTTTATTTTAAGTTTTGTGTGGCGTTGGGTTTTGGGGGTGGGGGTCTTTCTGGCTTTAATACATCTGCCACATTCTAAAATCATCTTGTTCCTTCACTTCATTATCTGCTTCCCCTGTTAGGAATGTGAGTGCTTGGAAGGCCAAGGTCTTCCATCTAGCTCACCAGTATAGCCCCGGGATGATTTCTCCCTGCACACAGTAGGTGCTTAATAAATATTTAATAAATGCACAAAGGGTGGAGGTAAAGCAGGAAGGGTCTGTACAGCAGGTGTTTCTCCCAAATTGTGCTGTGGGTGGCGGAGACTTGGGGGTGAGGCTATCTATCTTCAAGCCCTCTTTCAACTCTCCCAGGCTGCCTGCCTCCGCTGCTTTTTAAAGTAAAATTGTCTTTCAGAAGTGACTTCCGGGGACATCAATAATGCATACCCCTCACCTGAAAGGCCAAGACTTGATATTTAAACTTAAGAGCAGATCAAGTCCCATAAATCATTGATGCCTCCATTTGCTTCTATGATGACATCACATGTCACATGCCTGGATTTTTGACAGCCTTGTTTATCTGATCATTAAGCCCAGACATTTTTACTGCCCCTAGTGAACCTTCTAGGATTGACTCACCCTCTCTCATGCTTCTGCAGCATCCTCTTTTGGTCTCTATTTTGTTATTTACTATTTTCTGCCTTGTATCATACACAGACCCACAGACACACAGACACACACTTGGCTTGTGGATTCTTTGAGAGGTGGGACTTTATCTCACTCGACCCGTCTCTCCCCCAGCCCTGGACTCAGTTGTGCCATAAATATATATATATCCAAATACACATTATATATATACATATATGCAAATAAACATTAAGTTTCTTCCTCCCAAATTATCCTTCAGAACACAGAGAGCTACCTCCAAAGTACCTTTTGAAGTGCCTCAGATCACAAGATACTTCCAGTTACTTTCTTTTGAGCAGACACACAGCTTTAAAACAACCTCAGTGGATGCCAGCAGGGGTGAGGGAGAAGACTTGGGCCTTTCCTGAGACAGTTTCATGTTTACAAGGAGAGTAACTCATGGATTACCAGCATGCTACAAATTTGTTGGAGGGCAGAGACTGGGTTTCCTAACCCCCAGTAAGACATGGTTCTCCCTTATCACACCACCAAGGATTCATAGTTTGCAAAACTTCTGCCGAAGTCACCAGCCCACTGGCTCCTCTGATGAACCAAAAAGTCCCAGGAGGGTCTTCAACTTACCAGTTACATTCGGGAGGAACCAGCTTGGTCAGCTCTTCCAGAGATTTCTCTGACCTATACTCCTGGCAGGAAGACAGAGAGCATGGGGTTCAAGGGTGGGGCCTCCCGCCAGTCCAGAGTACCCCACCCGGGACCTCAGGACACACATACACACCTGGATGAAGGCAACAGTGACCACAATCAGCACCGCCTAGGGGGCAAAGGAGAGGGGACATTAACATTCAGCTGCCTGACAAGTGGGTGAATGAGCCCATGGAAGGCGAGGAAAGGTCTCGTCTTTTAAAATATATTTCCTTTCTTCTTGCAAAATAAATGCACTGTGCAGAAATTTAGAAACAGACAAGCCAAAATAAAGCATCCCAAATACCGCCACCCAGAGGTTCACATTTTGGGGTATCCTTTTGGATTTTCCTGCACATATACTTGTAACACAGGATCAGAGAGTGCAGATGTAATCTTTCATCTCAACCACAGATAGCAAACATCACTCCACATCAGAAGATGTGGATCTAGCCTCAGGCTTTTGAACAGAAGCACTGAATTCCACTGCATGGAAGGAGTGTTTTTGTATTTTAAAGGACAGCACTTGGCAGAAAGAAGGAAGGAGGAATGAAAGTCATCAAAAGGTGTTCAGTGAGAACCAGATATAAAAGGTCACATATTGTATGATTCTATTTATTTGAACTGTCCAGAATAGGTAAATCTGTAGAAAGCAGGTTGGTGGTTTCCAGAGGCTGGTGGGCAGAGGAATGGGGAGGGACTGTTTAGTGGGTACAGGGTTTCCTTTAAGGGCAATGAAAATATTTTGGAACTAGACTCAAGTGGTGGTTACACAATATCGTGAATGTAGTAAATGACCTTGAATTATTCACTTTAAAATGGCAAATTTTAATGTGTTTTTCACCTTAGTAAAAAAACATATTTTTAAAAAGGTGTCCCGTGGTTCTCCCTGGGTAATGATTATGAGAAGTTACTCTTTGTACTGCATGCACAGCCAGGATCCAGAAATTCCACCCTGGATGGGAGAAGAGTTCAGGGCAACGTGGTTTCCAAGCAAAGAACTGGAAGCCACCCAGGTATCCCCCAAGAGAGGGACGCCAAGAAACCAGGACACCCCACGTGGGGATAGAGAAGGATGTGGATTTCTTTCTGCTGTATTTTCTATTTTTTAAAAAAATCTACATCCAAACTTTTTTCCTTGCATAACAAAGATAAGCAAAGATTTAGCAAGCCCCTTGGGTAGCCGGGTCTGGGAGCCTGGTGCGTCCCCAGCGTGGCACACTCACCAAGGCGATGCTGACAGCGTCCTCGTATTCCTTCGTAAGGACACTCACCAAGGCAGAGGCCAGAAGCAGCAGGATCAGGGGGTTCTTAAACTGAAAAATGGAAACAGGGTGGTGGTTCTTCTCTAGGCTTGTGGAGATCAGAGACCCGGCTCCCCAACAGGTAGCAGCGTCAGCTCTTCACTGAGAGCTGGGCTTCCTGGTCAACCCTACAGTGATCCAAGGGCTAGTAGAGAAGACCCACCACCACTTGATGGGTCTCCTCTGCCTGAAGACCTGCAGATAAGGGGGGGCCATTGTATCTGCCTCCTCATTTCACACATTTTAATTGTTACAGACCAGGGAAAGGAAGCATAAACATAAACACATAAAAACAGGATCAGAGAGAGCAGACCAAAGGTCAGGATCGGCGTGAGAGTCAGAGTATCAAGAAGAAAATCATGGTTACTTAAATGGAGGCCATATATTTGGCTCTGAGCTTCCCAGCAGCAAAGGCAAAAAGGGAAATGTGATCAGATGTGTGATTTATCAGCATCATGCCAGTGTGGTACATGAAGGGATTTGACACCTCTCACCCCAGAACTGCCATGTTTTAATTTCTCTGAACAAGGGACAGGGCACTTTGTGGTCAGCCCAGCATCAATTTTGAATCTTAAGACTAAGCAACTCAAAGACATTTCACCTTCTTAGCTACAATTTTTCTATGATTGTATCAAATTACTTGTTTGTCTCTATCCTCTGCTAGAAATTTTCCTAAGGACACAGGCCACATTCATCCTTGTGTCCCCAGTCCTTCCATGTGCCAGAATGGGGCCTGATCACATGGGATGGCAGGTAAGAGCTCAGGAATCTGACAGAATTCCAGCTCTGTCACCACCATTAGCTCACTGAGAAACCTTGAGCAATTTCTCCAAGCCTCCAGGCTCTCTTAGCTGATGGAAGGACTAAAGATGACAATAAGAGGAGAGTAATCTGCCCAGTGGCTGGCACAGAGTAGGTTTATAGATTATAGAAGGCACTCGATAAACACTAGTCAAAGGGAGGAACTATGGCTGCCCGAGTTCCAGAAAACAGCCCCACTGTCAGGGCTCTTGATCCAAGCTGGCCCTAGGGTAAGCTTTCCAATGGCCCTTGCTGCGGCGGAGCTGGGCTGGAGTTGAGGGGGGTGTCATACCTTCAGAAAGAATCGCACTTCAAAGCCAGTGGGCCTGGGAGCCCCAGGGCTCATGTCTGAGACACACTGGTGGGAGTCAACCCCAGGGAACCCACAAAAGAACTTCCCACAAAACCTTGAAACCTGCACCAAAGTTTCTGAGATGGACCATATTCAATTAGCACAGGCTTCTCTCCAGGGGAAATATCTTCAATATGTAAATAAACCATCTGCTCATTTTGGGGGACGGCGTGAGCCGTTGATCATGGACTTGAGTTCACAGGTTAGGAAAAGGGCTTCGATTTAAAAATGTAAATGACATGCCATCCGAAAGCAGAAGGTGGACTTCAGGGCTGCCTCATGAAGTTGTGCGCTCCCTGTCACTGCTGGAGACAGACAGGAGAATCATGGCATCTGGCAAGTAGCAGGTGCTCAATGAACAGAAAGAATTAATAAGTGAGCTCATCAGGGGCGGGAATACACGGCCACTGGGCAGTACCTTCCAGTCCCACAAGGACTCCCACAGATGGATTCCTGAACTTATGGGGTTAAGATGAATAAGCTTATTTCCTGTTCTTAGAAACTGAAGAGATTTTATTTCTGGAGAAGACCTGGCTGGAGGCTAGAGGAGAAACCTTGGGGGTGAGGCTCTGACAGGACAGAGGCAGGAAGGGTCTCCAGGTGAGGAGGTCCCTGTGGAAGGGGCCGCCAGGGCAGAACTGACCAAGACCCTGCTCCAGGAGGGAGAATGTCCCTCACAGCCTGTGTGTCAGCTCCTTCCCTGAACTCCAACTTCCAGGAGCCTCTGCTGCCTCTTCCCAACACTGAGGTTCCAAGAAGTTTCTGGGTTGGCCAGAGCCACCTGCGTTCCTAGAAGCCTATTTTGGTGCCAAAATGCGTCAATGAATGACATCCCCAGGGCACTGGGAACTGACTAATGAACAGGGTGGAGACTGGAGGAGACTGGAGGTTGAGGATGCTGCAAGGAGGGGTGTGACTGATCCCTGAACTAACCAATCAAGAAAGCCTTAAATATGAGCCACAGGAAGGCAGCTGAAGCCCAGGGTTGCCCAGGAGTTAGACTGCAAGGGAGATGTCAGGGATGGGAAGGGTGCAAAAGGCTGGGAGGGGACACTGAGGCAATCTGAATGGCTTCAGATGTCTGGGAAATTCTGCCTGTTAACTGGGGCTTTTTGAGCTGGTACTTGGTGGGTGGTGGGGGTGTTGATTTCTAGATTGGAACTTGCAGCCATGTCTATTTCAATTTTTTTCTCCTTCTTTGCAATAGCTTCCAGGCATTTGACTCAAGCAACATGCATTCAGTGCTAATGGCAGGGGTAAAAGGGCCAGGGGCTCCAGAGCCAGCTGCCTGGCTTCACTTCCCAGCAGTGCCGTTTACTGCCGTGTGACTCTGGGTCCCAGTTGCCAGATAAACTACAGGACATCCAGTTAAATGTGAACTTCAGATAAACAAGGAACAATGTTTTTTTTTTTTTTTTGTAAATAAGGTAAGTAGGTCCAACCCATCCAGGCAACATTTGGGAGACATTAAAAAACTGCTCTTTGTTTACCTATCTGAAATTCAAATTTAATAGGGCATCCTGCAACTTTATTTTCTAAACCTGGCAACCCTACACAGCCTAGGGACATACTTCAGCTTCTCTGTACTTCACCATCCTCATCTCAAACAGGGGATTAGGAGGGAGATTAAGTAGGTCAAGACCGACTTATTTACGTGTTCAGTTAGCACAATACCTGGCACATGGTAAACCCTCTATGAATGTAACAACTGTTATTCACGGCCAGGGCTGCCTGGCTAGTCAGGGACCCCTCCTGCCGGCTAAATGAATGGGGCAAGCCTTC